TCCCCTCTGCCGTTTAGTAAGCGCCTAACGCGTTTTAGAATACTTCAGCGCACGATATAAACTCAATTTATTTTCGGTCATTTGTAATTTGTTACTACATAGAATTTCTTCAATTTAGCAATAGCAAATGCGTCATTTGTTAAGACTTGATTACTAGCACTCACCATTTGTCCACAATCTTGGATGTTTGCGAAACCAAAATGTTGGACCAACATTTGAAAATTAAACCCTTTTACATTTTCACCAAAATGTTGGACCAACATCACTCTTACCTTTGAATACTGACCAATACAGTTTTCTTTTGAAAAAAAAAAACAATGTTATACGGAATATTTTTTAAAAATAAGTTTTAAGTATAATTAATAACATTATATCTGCATATAATCACCATTCAACTAATGTTTTATTTATCCCACACTGCATATTCCGCATAATTCTTTTTTTTTCGAACGAGCCGCATTTAAACCGCACCACTTTACCTATGTACTTGTTCCGCACCACATGAACTGCTATCACCAAATCGGACCCTAGGTGCTTATATATTTTAGACAAGCTTGAAACGTGGAAAGTTTAAATAGTCACGTGTGTAAAAGACTCACAAAATTGGTAAAAGTAGGTTTCTTTGTTAGACCATGCAGATTTCAAATCAAGGATCAACTCGCAACTCACATTTCTTTGGATGTTTGTGTTTGACAATCCTGAACATGAGACCTGGGATTAAGGATAATTCAAAGGACAACTTCTTTTTCCCCCACCGCATGATAAATTTGAAGGTGAAACGAATAAGCGATACACAGGATTAGCAAACTGAAATGTACATGCATACACAAGATTAATTAGCATCAATGCACACTACTATTTCATTGGTTTTACATTGTAATTCATGGCATCAATGTTTTTCCGGAATCTGAGTGAAAATGTGAACGATTTCATCTCAACTAGGCACACTTTAAGTTGACAAAGGGATGAAATCGATCCTCTTCAACTTTTAAAGCCGTACATGTCTGTTTTTGGCTCTATTACTTTGTCTAGTTTGTGTTGTTGAATTCGAAGGCTAATGAATGTGTGAAAAAGGAATTTTTGGAAGCATCGATCGACAACCTTGTTCACTTCCTTGCAAATTGGCCAGAGTTATATATAATATAAATCATTACAAAATTTATGATTTTAATAATAATAATATTGATAAAGCACATGTTCTTCTAGCAGTTTAATTTGAAGCTTGGTGTATCTATGATCCATCAGCCAACAAAGAATCTTTCTACTTGTAAATAAAATGTGTCCAATTTTGTAATTAATAAAAAACTGCATTTCAATTACGAATATATATATCTTATACTGATGACTGAGATTGACCAGCAACATTCAAATAAAATAGTAAATATTCATGATTAGTGGACGAGGTAGGCAACTTCGCAGGAAATGATGTGTTGAGCTTACCAAGTTACAAATTAATATAAAGGGACCATGTCACGCACGCACCTATATATCTTACATGAAACGTGATTACGTTACGTACTTGTGTAACTTACCTACAAGGTCTCACCACTTTCTTTCAACATTTCTTTACTCTTGACCTCTATATATTATCAACATCCACGAAACAACCACGTTTAATTGTATAAGTAGTCATACCCACATTTTTTTTCTATGTAATCACAAGTTCATGTAATCTTTTTAATTTTGCCAAAATGGAGGCGAAATTTTAAAATAAAGAAATAGAGATTCAAGCTCCATGTTGCCGACTGGCTTTTTACATTTAATTGATGTAGGGACTAGGGATTGGCAACTTGATATAGAAAGGCCAAAAACACAACTTATTCATTTAATCGTGATCAATGAGATTAATGATTTGATGGGTGTATATGTGGATAGTATGTGGAAATATTGTGTCAGCTTTTATTAACGAGCTTTTCAAGTTGCAAAGCAGCCAATCATTTTGGACTTTTTTTCTCACCTCTGTAACTATTAGTGGATACTTGCAATTAGGTCCAAAACCAAATCATATGCATTAATCTTTTTTTTTGTTGATAAAAAAAAACGCATTCATCTTTTAATTATTACGTTAATTAGTGGACCATAATTAAGAAATTAGACCGGAGTGACCAAAGTATAGATGTACCTGACAAAGTACAATTCTAGATTTCATCAACAAAAAAGTAGATCTAGAAGATAAAATGGATAATAAAGCGGGAGAAATAAGTAATTTCCTTTTAATCATACACCTTTTTGTTTCCGTGATCAACGTAAAGTATGAATGGAGAGTAAATAAATAATTAAAAGCAAAAGACAATGATTATTGCTAATTACCAACCCATTAACCTTAATTAGTACATATATGCATGCGTATGTCAATCAAATCAAGCATCGATATGGTCCACAAGAGTTGAAGAGTTGGACCGCATAATGTTTGTCAAGCTCAAAATTGCTTACAAAGTCTTGTTTTATTCAACCTAGAATCCATTTCCCAAAAAGTTACTTACCATTTTTCTTGCTTTTTTTTTCCATTAAACTATAAATCAAAGATATGCTTGGAAAATTCCACATAGTGGAATTCAAATTTAGATAATTTTTGTATTTAAAAAGATCATAAGTAGAGATCATTTTTCTAAGAAAACTCTTAAAAATATATATAACCATATCGAGATTTTGTGCCCCTATTAGTATTTGATCTCTTTTGTATCTCAGGAAATGGTAATATATAAAATTCATTTCTCTTGAAATAAATACTGAGTATTATAATACAATCCAATATTAATATACATGTGATTATTTATGCACGAGTACAATCTAATAATATTATACAAATTGTTATTCTTGAATAGTAGTACAACATAACAGAATTTCAATATTTTGAAAAACCATCATATGATTAAAATGAGTAGTAGAAGTCTTGCAAAAATCATAGATTTCCTCGTAGTCAAAGGTTTTATGTAATTTTATTTTGAATAATATAATAAAAAAGGACCTACTGTACGTACTTTTCCACGTATCAAATCTACACATGAGCACATGTCTGCAAACCCCATCATTTAAAACCCCCCCAACCAGCTCCCTCTCACCGCCTTCAACTGAAACATTAAAAAACCCCAAAAAAAGGATCCAAACTCTCTCTTTTCTTGTGAGAGAGCAAAAATTAATAATAAGATGGGTAACAGTTTAGGCAGCAAGAAAACGACCAAAATCATGAAAATTGACGGTGAGTCTTTCAAACTGAAAACTCCGGTCGCGGCGGAGGAGGTCCTCAAAGATTTTCCTGGCCACGTTTTGTTAGACTCCGAATCCGTCAAGCACTACGGTGCTCGAGCCAAACCACTTGAGGTAATTACCCTTTTTTTAATACATTTATTTATCAAACTCTAGTAATCGAATTATTTTCGGGATTAGGTCCAAAATCTCTTAGTATT